CACTGCCCTGCTGCACTGACACATCCCCATTGTGCAGGCAGGGAAGGAAACCATCCACCTTGCCAGGGCCAAAACTCCCAACAGAGGAGCTTTTGGGAGGGCAAATGGAACAAAGCAGCCCAGGGACCTTTAGCCTTTACCACACCACGGGCACACGTGCCGGCGCAGGTCGCCCTGCGACACGCGGGACCTGCTCTCCTGCTGCAAAGGCAAGCACAGCCTGGCTCCTGCCCACATCCCCCAGCACTGCAGCTGCCCTGAGAGCAGCAAAGGATGCAGCTGGCACTCCTGCTCTACACCCTCTTTATTTCTGACAATAACTAGCAATAAGCACAACAAGGCACTGGTTTCTTCCTTTCAAGAAACACTGAGGCACAGCACAGCCATCCCATTACCTCCTGAGCCATCTCTAGCCAGCGTGAGAATCAAAAGCATTTCAATTAAAACAAAACTGGTTTTAATCAAACCAAATCACCGTAGTGTGCTGAGGTTATAGCTCTGAGATCAGGGCTCATAGTACGAATCCTGCATAAACATGGACTTCTTGTAAACTTCAGGGCTTTGTGCTGGGTAAGAAAAAACCACCAGTAGAACAACAGAAAGGAGGTTTCAGTTCTGTGACTTCTTGCTGTACAGAAAGGAATAGAAATGCAGGTTAAATGGAGTTCACAGGAACTTAATCTTCAATTAATCTTTGAAACAAATGTCTGACCTCACACATATTTACAGTTAAAACTCCACATTCCTGAAGGGAGCTTTGCTGCCTAATCCAACAAGCTCCCTGCCTCCTATTTTTAGCTAAACACACAGTCTTACATAAGTTCATTCTCTCAACTCATTGAACAAACAGGAGTTATTCAGAGTTTCCTTAAAAAGACATGCCTTAAAAGCACAACACAGTGTTGAGCTGAGCATCTGGCACCTAGTCTGCAGTAACATGATCAGCTGCCAGTCACCTTGCACGTTTACGGTAGGAGGTGAACCACGTCCTTGGGCTCTGTGACGCCACACGCGTTCGTGTCACCTGTATTTTCAGAGAAGCACAAAGCCAAAGTGTTCTGGGCTATCTTCAGAGGAGAGAGGTCTCAAAGCCACAGTGCCAATCACACAGCTGTGCTGGGAAAGCTCTGATGCCTCTTATTTCCAGGCCATTCTTCACTACAGTCTCACTCCTACCTGTCTGCCAAGCTCTCGCTGGGTTTGGTGGATTCAGGGTGTTCCTCTGCACACAACTGCTGGCTGAAAGTGACACATCACCTGTACTTCACTAAGCTTTGCCTACCCTGCACTCCCTTCAGACCAGTATTTGCAGGATATAATGGGGGGGAAGAGATGTTAGGATAGCCCACAAACTATCCTTCCCCAAATTATATATAAACTAAGTTCCATGAGTCAATCCCCACTCTAAAAAATTTGCTCAAAGGTCCTGAAGGGTGAAATATTGAGGTATAGAACTAAAAAAAAGGACAATAAAAATCCAATCAACAGCCCCAAACATGTATTGCTTTTTTCTACTTGAACAGGAAACTAAAAGTTAGTAGAAAAAAAATTTCACTTTTGAGTTTGTGGTAAAAGTGCACAGTAGCTTAACTGAAATCAGACAAAAATCATGTGCAATAGAGCCTGTTGAGAAATGTCTCACTGTGAAACTCTGTCTGCCCTACCTTCAGCCACAGGAAAATCTGAACAGCAGAAATGAAACTCCTAAAGGCTGACTAGACAAATTATTTAGTGACACAGAAACAACACACGTGCACACACTCTCTCCCTGATTCTGTGCACACCCAGGTAGCTATACCCTATACACACCTTGGGTTTGAGTTTTGCTGCCACCCATTTCCAGGACCCATTTGTTGGCCTGTGTTTGTGGTTAGCAGTCCAGCTTGCACAACACCCTGCAGAAGAGATTTTTTCCACACATTTAAGATGTGCTTGCTTTGCACATGCTTCCCCCTCACACCCTTCAAGCAAATCCTTTTTTCCTTGCTCATCTCCCGGAAGAATCCAGTTGTTTTGAGTATTCTCCTTCGATGCCCTCTATTGCTGTAAACATCTTCCCACCTTATCCCCATGCCAGTGATGAGACTGCTGGTGACAGGGTGGCACATTATGTCACCCTGTCCCTTCCCTTTGCCCATATCCCCTGACACCTCTGGTTGTCATCTCCGACTATGTAGCTGGGACAGTTGCTGAGCTGGCATTTCATCTAAATCAGGTCCTGGTTCATAGTCCTCCTATGGACACCAGAAATGCAAAGGCAACCTCTGTGTTTTAGGTCAGAAACACAGCCTGGACTTCTGCAAAGGACAAATAGGTAGCCAAGTTAGACCAAGGTAGCTGGTTTTGTAAGGCCCAAACATTGCCAGATCAGCAGTTCCTCAGTGTCTATCAGGACACCTCTAACAGAAGAGTCACTGATGGCAGGGGGACAGATTTTGAGTAGCACCTCAGCAGTGCTGGGATCTGCAGCCACTTCAGAGAGGTCCCTAACTGCAGCTCCTGCTAGCACAGCACAAGGTGAGAAGCACCCACGGCACCTCAGGCTTTCAGCTGCACTCAGTAAATGTGCAGAGCACTACAGCACAATTGCTAACCTGTGAATTCTCCACGGTGTGAAGAGCTTGTGGTGTCCTCCCACCACAAGCAAGAAAGTTTGCTGCTTTCTTTGTCTTGCTTCTGGCACTTCAGTTGCTCACGTGTTTTTACTGAAGATACTCACATGGAAACACTTTGACCAAAATAAATAGTTGTGAAAGTTGAAATGTGCATTTTATCTCAGTAAGACACAGGAAACAGAATTCTAAGGACTCTGAAGAAACATTCAGCCAAGCTAGTCCATTTATTGAGCTTCTATCAACTAGGTTTTGATTAACAAGGGGAAAACAGAGAGCACCGAGCAACATACAAAATAAATATTGAAAGTTAAGCTCCCTTTACATGGATAAAATGTTCTGGGGACAAACATTAAAGAGGTAAAATGCATTTTAGTTGGAAGGACATGCCTCAGGGTTTCTTAAAATAGTCTTAGTGAAACAGATTCTCTTAAAAGAAACTTTTCATACAGCACCACGTTTAGAACTAAGCCGTATGTTGAAGGGAAAAGCCACCGGGGAGAAGAGGTTCATATTTACATACAGGACAAACAGTACAAAGCATTAGCTGGACCTTTACCTTACATTTAAGTTGATACCATTAGTGTGGGTGAGCTACAGACCAGGAGAGCTCTGAGTTTTTCACAGGGTTACACTAGTGCAGACTCTGCATGGACACTGCTGCAGACCTTACTCTACCAGAAGAGCAGCTGTCCACCAGCACTGCCTGGGACAGGCAGCTGACCGTGCCCACCTCCTGCAGGGCCAGGATTTACACAAACGGAGACAGCTTTGCTCTCAGCCTCTCCATTCTTGCTGGAAGAAGAGTCACCATCTCCTTACTGAGCTCTAGTTCCGTTTCAACGGCACGGACAGCATCTGGGTACTTCTCACAATAGTCTACCAGAAATGTGTAATACTCCAGTGATGTCTGCATATTTTCCAGTTGCTTTTTGCTATCTGAAGTAATAAGCTTACCATACAGTCGTGCAATATGAAATTTAGCCACCATTGCAGGGCGAAGAACATCTTCCTCAAGCATTTCAGGGAACACCTTATCAGGGTTCCTCAGAGAATCCAAGAAGAGTTCATAATACTTGATTGCACACTGAGCCAGAGAATTAATTTTTTTCACTGTGTGAGAGTCTAGCTTCTCTAACCTGTTACCAATAGCCACCTTTAAATCCATCATCTCATAGTATGTGTCAGCCAGCTCGAACTGCAGCTGCCTGCTGATCAGCAGGTAGTACTGGGGATTCAGGTCTGCATAGATAGGCTCCAGCATGTCTATTCTACGCTTGTGCATCTTGCAGCGCCTCTCATAGTCCTCTTCAAAGAAAGCAAGTACCTTAAACAGAGCACTGTGATCCTGAACTATTTCAATATGGTCAGTGACATAACCATCGACCTGAAAGAACTCTTTTGCTTCCTGAACATAGTTCTGACCAACCAGGAAGATTTCTCTGGCTTCTTGGAAATCTAAGGGATATACACTGCTCACTTTCTCCTCCATGGCTAAGACAGAGTCACATATATCACTTGTACCAAAAAGGACAGCTTTTTTCCTGCCCTTCTCTTTTTCATCCTCTTCTTTCCTCCTTTGGGCTTTAAGCTCCAACTGCCTGTCTGGATCCAGCTCTCCAATGTTATCCTGAAACGAGAAGGCACTCTGATTACAAAGAGGCATGTGGCTTACGAAGGGAGACTCACACTGAATCATTTTATTTATGAGTCACCTTTGAACTACAAACTAGTTCACAGCGAGACAGAAGGGAAATTATTACATTTTATTTATGGGTCACCTTTGAACTACAAACTAGTTCACAGCGAGACAGAAGGGAAATTATTGGCATATTAGACCTTATATGCACCCAAAAATCATGTACATGATAGTATCAACTCTGTAAAAACACAAAGACTAAGATGATTCAGGCAAAGCAATAATGTTAAGCCCAAAGATTCTGCTTCTGAAAAGCACTTCAGCCAACGCTGTCTCAAACCTTCGAAGTGAAGCTTAAATGAACAAAACCAATGCCTGAGCGAACCGAATGCCTGGATGAACAAGAACACCAGCACTCAAAGCTCCTGCAGATTAAGATGATGTCCTTACTAGCAGTTCAATAAGAAGCAGTCTGTCAAATTAAGCTGCAAAGAAATGTAGGAGAGGAGGGAAGTCTGTGAAGCTGCTGTATGAGCTCTGCACTGATCACACTGCAGACCTGAGCTCCTGAGTGCTGCACTGAAGTTAAAGCATCCTGTGAAACACTTGCTACACTGCAAGCAGCTCTTGTATTCTTAACTGGGCAATTGCCTGTCACCAACTATGAACTGATTCCTGTTGCAAACATCACAGTGGACTGAGTTTGCTGTTAGACAGTGACAGCTACAGAACAGACTTGCTGTTACCTCAAGTAATTTCCGAGCACTCTGCAAGAGATTCAGGCAATACTTAATCCAGCATCTGGCAATTTCAGCTTTCCTCTGCTGAAGGTCCTGCTGGTCTTGCTCTGTTTCATCTATTGAATAGACACAAACACATACAAACTTTGAGAGAACCCCAGCAAGACCCTCAAATGTTCTATGCAAAGAGTAAGTTACTTGTATTTTATTAATTGTTCCTTGTGGCTAGACAGAAACATGTTCTCCATGTTAGTTTACATAACAATGGATCTTTAAACTGCAGCGTCTGGTAGGAACCCATATAGATTAGACATGGATTTGTCACGCGTGGATTTTTAAAATACACAGATTATAATGTATGTTTTCATCTTGAAGGTGTTTTACCGTACAAGGTTTTCACGAATCTCTATAATAACAGAAATAAATGGGGACAGTTGATTTTCTGTGAATCAGCTGAACTGTTTCTGAGGATGCTCAGGGCATTTGTATTGCAGTGTGCCCCAGACTTGCTACCAAGAAAGGGAACAAAGTAGGGAAAAGTGCTTTTGGTTGATCTACCTGGTACAAACATGAGATTTATTAGCTCCACAACTTCTGCTTCTTTCCCCCCAGTCTCCCCACTATCACAAACAGCAGCACTGCTGATGTCTCAAGATAAAATTTTCAGCAACAAAGAGACCTGGAAGAAAACTCATTTCCAGTCTCCAGGCAGACAGCAGTGAGTTACCTGAGCAATGAAGGGACAGTGGCCTTCCTGTTCCCAGACCACAAGCCAACCTCAGACTCAGACCCACTGTGCTCATTATCTCTCATCAGAGCCAACCAAGTTCTTATTACAGAATTAAGAGTTGTGCCTAACCTAAAAAAGGCACATTTACTAAATGTCTGAGTCAGTTTATCTTCTAATTAGCATGATAAAATGCACTTGAGAGTGGCCAGTGTTGACTAGGTATTGGTCTTTCTGCAAGTCAGAACTTACTGCAAGCCACATGGAAAGGAAAGGAAGGCTGGATCAACATTCAACTCCTGTTTGGCGAAGGAGGAAATCAAGAGAGAACCTAGCTGACTTGCACTCGCCTGCTCTCTCTGAGTTAAAGTTCTGCTGATGGGAAGCTTCCTAAGACACAGAAGATAAAAAGGCTGTGCTGTAGATAAGCAAAGACTAAGCCTAAAGCAGAGCACTGACACAGTCATGGAACCACAGGTCCTCAGAACTAGGGTCAGTTTTTGACTGATCCTCACACTGAACTGCAAAGTTGTTCCTTTTCATCACTACCCAAACAACAGGGAGGGGAGCTGCAACCAGCTGTCAATGAGGCTGCAGCACCCAGCAAGAAAAGACAGTACAAGTACCTTCTGGATTTGGGGTTTTAAGAGCTGCAGTTTTCCTCCCTCTTTAAAACCATTCCCAGGAAGCATCTGGTTTGGTTGACTGAATCACTGTCCCCTGAGCACTGAAGTAAACTGCATCTTGAGTACATGCATAAGGCCAAACAGAGGAGCAGAGCCACTGCCCCCTGTCGAAGTGGATATTGCTTGATACTTCACTTTTATTCTGGGATACTTTCCAAAACACCAGCAACAAGCACTTGAGTTTTGCTCACAGAGTCTACTCATAGCCAATCTTGAGCTGCAGCAGCAGCTTTTCAGAAACATCCTACTTAATGGTTAATTAAAAGGATTTTAGGAAATTAACAGCAGGAAAAGTTTTGCACATGTTGTTAAACTTCAGTTGTAACATTATGTATCAATGATTTTTAATTCACAGTAGTTTTATTCAAAACTTTATATGATCTTACTGTCTTCAGCAGATGGCACCTGCCCAGCTTGGCTGAAGATGACGCTGGCTGCTGCTAGACAGTGCCTGGCCTCCATGAAGCATTGCTGAGGGAAACAGAAACAGCAGCACTTAGCACCAGAGTGAGCAGCCCACACACTGCTTGGCTACATCCTCAGACACGTGTGAACACAAGGGAAATGACAGGACACTGCAGCACATTCCTCTGGATACGGGAAGAAAACAGTTTTTCCCCCCCACTACTGAATACAGTATTTTCTACTCAGCTGGTTTTTTGGTCCCACAGCTACAGCAGCAAGCCTTGCTTTTATATTAGCTACACACACTGTGAGCATTCTCACTGTCCTGATCTCTGCTGCTGCTGCTTCCTGGTGGTGAAGGAAGTGATGCCTTGGGGCACAGACTGTATCACAGGGTGCTCGGGAACGTGCCAGACACAGGAGTAAACACCCCGAGGCAGGTTTGGGTTCCTTTACCCATATCTGGCAGTGCACTGTTTAACCACTTGTGCTATCAGTGCATCAAAAAGACATGACAATTACTAGTTACTACTGAAATTAGCATTGGTTGGCTTAGGTATTGCAGAAATCTCTTCAAGCACCAGAAAAGAGTGGAAAAGCCTGGAACAGAGAAATTGCTGCACAAAGCTGCAGATCATGTCTAGCAAACACAGATGTGTGGCACAAATAGCTACCAACACGTACTCACTTTAATGTTCACAAAGGCTCAAACAACTCTCAAGCATGTTAGGATACAAAGGACAGTAATTTACAGGAAATACACTTGGACCTCGAATGGTTTAGGGTTTAAACTTTACCTGAACAGAACAATTTTTAAATTAAATTATTACGACCTTGAAGTTATACTTCTGAACATCAAGTGGCATCATTGCTAATAGTTCACTAACTTCAGAGCTTTGCTCACATCTCCAACCCTGTTCACTCTCCCCATTGCCATCGCAACACCACAGGAAAGCCACTATGTCCTCTTCAGAAAAAACCTGACAGATGCTTCATGTCAGGAGACAACTTGTGGTTTTATAGGTGCACACTCCTAGTTCAACAAGGAACCCTGTTTCAAACAGCTGTTTAAATAACTGTCTGACCTGACAATTGTATTTATGATACAATGACAGCAGAAAAACATGAGCTGTATTACCTTAGAGAGATAGTACTGTGACAAAGTGGCAGCATTGAGTGCCCACTCCACTGGGTAGTAGCTGTCGTTTCAGAGTAGTGTGGCAATACTGAGCAGCCTTCTCAATCATCTCCAGGTGCTGGTAGACTTGTGCCAGGTAATACAGAGTATGTGTGTAGGCTTTCTCAAATCTGGAAAAAACAACAGACTCTTTAATTCCTTCTTTTTTTCTTCCCTAAATACATCCTCATGGTGCAAAACAGAACAAGCAAATAATAGTGCAGGTATGCTGCTCCACACTCACCTTTTGGACCTTTCTTGGTCTGTGAGCTTTACTTCTTCTCCCATGAAGTGTTCACTGGGATCCAGGGGAGGATTTCCATCCTGCAAGGGTTATGTGGTACATTCAGTGAACTACATTTCTTACTCCAACACAGCACTCCCTCTCCTGGCTGCTCATCATTTACCACTGCAATCCCAAATTCACGAAAGCTTCGCGTAACACACCTACATCTACCTCAGTGCCATATCTCTGGGGCGATTCCACAAAAATCATCAGAGTTGGAGGATGAAAGCCACAGTTCCACACAGGATTACAAGGTTTTCAGCTTGTAGAAGACTTGTGCTCCCATACTTTCAAGCAGTCTGTGGTGTCTGCATTAGACATGCTCGGCCTGGATTATGCCAGGACTAACTGGGCATTGCTGTTTTGTACAGTACCAGGATGGGTTTGAGGCACCAGTGTAATACTCAGCACGCCTACAAGTGTGAAAGATTCATTTGCCCAGCTCCCCTAATCAGCCACAAGAAAACCTCCTGCAGGAAGTACTGCAGAGAGCAGGCAGTGCAGAGCGCTCGGCAGAGCTGCCCAGAACATCAGCTGCTGTGAGGTGACTCCCCACAGCCACAGCCACAGCCTGCTGCGGCGACGGACTCGGACACCCCGAGGAGACTGCAGGCACCTCTTTGAAGGATGAAGCTAAATCTTCGTATCAGGCATGACCTACACGCAAGTTATTAAGTGAGGTAGTTCACATCACTAGAAAAGCTTTTTCTGCTTTTTAAACCAATCATTCTATGAGAATCCTCATACTGACAACTCCACATTTTGGCATTGCTGTATTCAAGCTTGCCTTAAAACAACTGCCAACAAAGTCACAAAGCAGCTAACAGCAGTCCCAGCAGATTGCTCATGGCAGAGTCTTATCAGCCTGTGCTTGTCCCTTTACAACTGTGAGTAACTTCCGGTGCCAGTTCTGAAACACCTGAAATGTGGCTTTTCTCCCACCACACTGTGCATCCTGCAGGATGCTCAACATGCCTGCTGGCAACAGAGCCCAGCTCAGTATGCAACTTGCCTAATCCCATGTATTTCCTCGCCCAACAGAAAGCGAGGCCAAAAAAACCCCAGTTTAGGTAACATACTCAGGCAGGAACAGGAGAAAGGGCAGAGAATGTGCACACTGTACAGGGAAGAAAACATGTATGTTTGCACTGCTTCTCATCATAAATTCCTAAATGGATGTTTGCTTTCAACAGAATTATCTCAAAAAAAGGAACAAATGTGTCTGAAAGAGACAGTGACAAACCTACCAGAGATGTCAATTTTTAATATGATCTTTTAGTTTGTTTCTGTTTATACCTCATTAGTTTTAAGATAAGAATTTATAACTCCATGTTATTCTCTTTAGATACAAAGGCTCCCAAAGCTCCTAAGAAGATGTGAGGTATATTCTGGCCAGACTAGAGCTACTCCTGCAAAGAAAGCAGCTGAAATGACAGGGTAAGCCTTGTCTCCTTCCTGCACCTACACATTTATGCTCTGATGTCAAGCCTTATGCCTTTAGCCATCCTCAGAAGAGCTCTGCAGCTCTCCTTTCTAGGTGGTCTTTACTAGCTCAACCTTCTTGCCTTGCTTTTGCTTTAGGGGGGAATAAACCACCCCATGCAATTTATAAGTTAATGAGAGCCAGTTAGTAAAGAACTAAATCCACCAGTTCAGGAAAATGTCTCAATCATGCACCGTGTACCAAAGATTCCCTGATAGTAATGCCTAGAAGCATGGAATGTTAAGAACAGTATGTTCACATTTTTGTCACTTGTGAAAGACAAATAGTGACATGGTTGTACAAACCCTAAAGACCAAACACCACTGCAAGGAACTCAAGTCCTCTCCATAAACCATAAGGCAGTTAGACTAGATCCCCATGCCCTGTGTGTTGGATTTGCTGTGGGGAGTTTTAATTCTTTGCAGATTATGTCAAGGGCAGTCAGAATTTTCAGAGAAACGTGACACAAGTCAAAGTCACTACAAAAGCATAATTTTGCTGTAGTTTCTTTAAAAAAAAGTCTTAAAGTATAGCTGTGTCTAACTACATAATGCTTGAAATGCAAGTGGCAAATAGAAAATGTTGGGAAGAAATGTGACAAATGAGCTTACTGAGAGTCAGGCATGTACACCCTGCTCAGGCAGCAAAGCCCCAGGAGGAATATTCAGCAGCCATTGCTAACAAAGTTGAACAGCTTCAGAGAAGTCCACAGTGACAATGTGAAGCATTTGGCAGCACCACACAGGGTAGTACCAGTTCAATTTCACAATCACTGGAGCACTCTGAGATGTGATGTGGAAGCTAATGATGTTCATACTCGGGACTGGGTGCAAATATCAAAGCTGAACATCAGGGACTAATTAGAGAGAGGGTCTGTAGAGAGTTGTGGTATCTCTAGTTAGCCCAACTGATCCAGAGGGCAGAAAATACAGAGAAGCTTTCCAGAACAAGTGGTTTTTTTCTGGATCCATTCCCTCTCTCATCATTGCAGGCCAGCACGGCTACAAAAGTGGAAATATGGCAGTAACCAACCCATAAAGACCAACCCGTTCTAACATCTCCATATGAACAATATGTGCTATAAACCAAATTCATGTAAAACCTGAACTGCAAACTAAGGTCTGTCCAAGCTCTACAGATGTTCAGAGACACAGAACATTTGCTGCTCCCTTCAAGCCCACAAATGTGTTTAGCTCACACAAGAACTGTCCCTGAGGCAAGATCGCATAGAAAAAGATTTGCAAAGAGCCTAAAAAGTGCACAAGGGAGTCTTTGTCAGATACAGAGCAGAATCCCTAGCTCAAAAGGTTGCTGAATATGCATGAGAGGGTCAGCTGTTCATAAGATTGTCCTCTTTGATACAGAACTAAACTACCTGCCTCTGCGAAACACTGCACAGTCAGAGCAAACCATGCAAATGTTACAGTTGTGTTTCCTTCTCCCACTGAAAGCAATGGATTGACATTGTACAGCACTTCTAACATAAAATTTAGGAATAGTCTTCATTAAAAGCCAAATTCTACCTGGCTTCGACTTCAGATTATCAAAGAGCTCTCCAGAGGGACCACTATTTGTGAGCAAAATTATTCTCCATTTTGAAATTAGCAAGAAATGCTCTAGTTTGCCTCGTCCCACACAGCAGTATAACTCGTGTTACTTGCCCAAAGGAGACTCAAGTTCCACTGCAAGTTTGTACCAAACATTACTTAAGCTGCCAAGTGGCACGTGAGAGTAAGACCTGCCACAAAACTGACACAGTACCTCCTTCATGTACTGATTATACAAGGCCTCTGCAGATTCCAGGTAAGTCTGCGCAGTTTCAATTTCATCCCTTTTAGACCACAGGATACCTAGGCTGTTCTAAAGGGAAAAGAAAAAAAAAAGTTACTTTCCCATTATGTTCTATTTACATTACACATTTTTTCCAGTTTATCAGTGTTCATCCTTATATATACACATGTGTGTTCTAATACAATGGATTTCAAAGAGCAGAAGTCATGCCCACACATTTTATTGAGTTGCTGCAAAGCCAAAGGGTTCTCAGACAGCAAATTTCACATGCAAAATGCACCTCACAGATGGTAACTTTCTGTGTTTGCTCTGCTAAGTAAGAACTGGTGTGTTCAAACAATGAGCTTCTTCCACAAGGTATGCTCTGCATCCAGTTCATGCAGCTTTTAAATCACATACAAATACCAAACAAAGAGCCAACAAATTGGAAATCTGTTACTATGACTCTCTAGAAAAAGTAAACAGGAAAAAGATACAGTAGGAATTAATACCTGTATGTTTTCAACAATGAAGAGACGAGAAGCAGCTTTAAGATGCAAAAGTTATAAACTACTGCGTTCGAATTAGTTACAGCATCTGTAAACCCACGTTTTAAAAAGGTACCTCTAACTTACTAAAAAGATGAAGGTGTTAGTAACAATCTATGTCTGATGTACTAGTTTAATTCCCAGGCAGTGCTGGTACAAAATCCCACGGGGCTCAAAAATCCCAGCTTCAAAGCAGTCAGGACGCGCGGTTGTGTGCCAGCCCCGTGTCCCTTCCAGTTCCAGTAATCCTACTGTGTGTGTAAGAAAGCAGCACGTCACATGTTGTTTATGAACTGAAACACTTCACCCGAGGCCGAGCAGTGGAACAGACCAAATTGCATTAGACAAAACTGTGCTGCACATCCTTATGCCGCAGCTCAGAAATCAGAAGCAGAGCTGCAGAGAGAGGCCCCGCGGGAAAAAGAAACACTCCTCCTTTCAAAATAGCAGGCAGAGCCATGAACATACTCCAGATATCTGAGAACACGAAGAAGTACAGCCACTGAGGACAACCACTGCTGCTGAATCAGAAGTGGTGTTAATTAAGCACCGCAGCCTGTTGGAGCCATTGGGACGGGGAGCTGAGGGCTGTGCTCTGCAGCAGCTCCTGAGGACAGTGCCAGGCAGCAGCCCTGTCACTGTGATGCCACAGACTTCACATGCACAACAAACTCAATCCTGCTGTTTCCTAAACACCCCACAGCAGTAACGCCCATGCGAACACTTGTCCAACAGAGCCAAGAGCTGCTTTCCAACACACCACTTCAGGAGCGCAAGGGAATCCCTGGTGCTCAGCCACATCTCCCCAGGAACACAGGGGAAGACGTTCTCTCATTTTGACTGGAGCCATCTCCTACCTTAAAACCAGCACCAGGTTTGTGGTGGCGCACCCAAACGCTGGAGGACAAGGAGCAGACGTAGCCTCACAATTGCAGACACCTCAGCTAATTTAACCAGGGCAAGACAAGTCACTGTTTAACTTGCACCTTTCCCCATCACCACACAATTCCTCAACAGCTCTGTGACATCTGACAAGAAAGCACTATTGAGCCTCTTCTAATGAGAGCAACAACGATGCCAGAGCCACCTGAACAACAGCTCCCTTTAATTCCCAGCCTAGAGACAGATCCTTGACCGTACCCCAGCTGCCATGCAGGAGCAGTTACCACAGCCCCTTTTCTGAATCTTCATGTGGCAAGAACCAATTTTGGTACCAGTATCACTTTCTTCAGAACAGAGATGAATATTGTTACTTCAAGCCCCAGCAAAACTGTATTTACTCATCTGGGACAAAATATAACAGCTTAAGAGAAAAACAAGGGCAGTGTCAGACTGCTAAGAAACAACAAGTAACAGGTTAGGCCGAGAAGCAAACGAGTGACAATTTTGGCATACAAGTTACAATTTCAGGATAATGCATCAATAAAAGCATCTCCCAATTTCACTTTGACAATAAATGGCAGTTAAGAAATCATAAATCTCTTCTGGATGCACTGAGGTCTTGTACCCATTTATTCTTGCCCCGTTCTCGCGCTGTGCCTCAGCCTGCCCCGAGGCGACCCGGCTCTGCCAGGGCCGCTGCGCTCTGCGGGCACG